TAGTAGAGAGGCATATCAAATCAATTTCTGATTCATTCAAGATCAATTTAAACCAATGCGGTACAGATTGGGTTAGGTTTGTGTCCACTTGTTCTTATGCATACAATTCCTTTGCTTCCCCTCAATTAGGCAATCACAATCCATATGAACTTGCTTTTGGTACATCTAAGAATCTAACCTCATTAAATTGGAATTTTGATGGTGTTTGCAAGTCATTTGAATATTACTTAACCCAGCTTCGAGACAAATTTGATGCTATTTCATCTATGATGCTCGATCTTCAACTACGACAGCAAGAGAGTGAAAACATAAGCATATCTCATAGCTTGAGTAAAAATCCAATATATGGGTTGGGCCAGTTTCTATATGTCTTAAAGCCCTCGTCGTCTTCACTCACTTCGAAATCTAGAAAGATTAAATGAAATGAAATGGAGTTTAACGTCCTACTTTTTTGCTAGCTGAATGGTGTGGTCCCATTATAATTCACCAAATTTTAGATGGCAAGGTACTTCAAGACGTGTTTTTTATTAATAGATTAAAACCATGGTTTGTTCGTTCTGATAAACCAAATCCCCATTTAACACACATTGATCAATTAAGGCAACACTGGGGTAAAACTGTTAATGAAAATGCTCCTTTATCTTCTAATGATGGTATAAATTGTTTATTTATCGATGAAAATGGTTTAGTTTTGCTTCAATTTGATGTCGCAAATATAGTTAGTAATAGAGTTACTACACCAGTTGATGTTTCACATTGTGTAAATTATCTTAAAGATAATCAAAACCTAGCTTCAATTCGTAAGTTAGATTATTCACAAATGGAGCAACAGTTAAACCATTTAACTGAAGTTGTTAATAATGATCAATTAATTCATATCAAGAAAGGTCGTATGAAATATGGAACTTTTTAAGTGTTAGTAAACTTTAATTTGGCCAAACCAAATAACTGTGAATGGATCAATGTGAATACTAATCCAGAATTATGCCACATTACTAAACAATCGTGTAAAGATGATGATTTGTCAGTTACTGGTAAATTTTGTTGTTACTAATTTGATTCTTCTTATTCGTGTTCACATCCGATTTTTTAAATATTGTCTTCCTTACAATAGCCTTAATATGCACTTTAAGTAAACCTAAAAATAACGTATCTATCGTTTATGCCTTACTCACTTTTGCTGTGATGTTCAGATCTTTATTAAGTAAGGTATTTGAATTTTTTGGGATAATTGAATATACACTTGTATGTTTAGAAAATATATATGTTCAGGTTAGAGCAGTACTTAAAATCAAGTCCATAGACAAACATTTCTGAGAACTCATCATGCAGATATGTTCAACTTTTTATATTAATTGAATTTTAGCGTTTCATGTTTCATTATATATGAGTGAGAGTGTGCAAGTTTTTTTCATTCTGGTATTTGGAAAGTTTTAAAAAATCCTTTATGGAGTTTTTGTTTAGAGCGGGGGGATGACATATATAGCACTATATAGCCCCTATTACTTGCTCACTATTCTACTTTAACAAAGTAGATCAATACTAATTAGTTAAATGTGGCCGGAAACCTTAAAACCATTATGATATTATAGAGTTGTTTCCCTTGTTAATAAAAGACCTTATCCTAGAGCATCTGGGATTGGGTGAACTTCAAGATGGGTGTTTGTTTTGATGGATTCTTATAAATAAAACCAATCCAGGACAATCCTAGGATAAAAAAAAACCCCAACACAACAATATCATCAACACGAACAATCACGCGTGTTAATCCTTGATGGACAGTTTCCATTGTCCTTTGGAAAATTCCTGGTGAACTGGACACCCCATAGGGTAATCTATTGTATTGATATAGTCATTCATGTGTATGAATCACAACATACTATTTAGAATCTTCTTCTAGTTCGATTTGATGATAAGCTTCCGATAAGTCTAATTTTGAAAATACCTTACCAGCCCCCTAACACCGCTAACAAGTCTTCTGTGATTGGTATAGGATAATTATAAAGTTTAGAAACATTATTTACTGTTACCTTGTTACCTAGTAATCACCACGAATGCGAATATTTTTATTTTGTTTGACTATTGGTACGACCGGAGCAACCCATTCCGAAAAATGAATTTTCGAAACAATGCCTGTTTTCTCTAATCTATCAAGATCTTCTTAAATCTTACGTTTGAGTGCATGCACAACCGGACTTGCTTTATAATGTATTGGTATGGCGTCTTTGTCGACATAGATTTTAGCTTTGGTTCCTATAGGTTTCCCAAGGCTCTTTTTAAAAACTTGGATAGCATAGTTTCTAAACCATTATTATTTTCACTATGATCAACCATGACCTAATAAATTCGGTTTGTCACCTTTAATTAAAATAACATCCAAATCTCATAACTGTCCATCATACTCAACATGTAATTTCACTCTTCCAATCACCATTTTCATAGACCATATGCTGTCTTTGTTTACTTCTGTAATTACTACTGTGAGCTCACCCACGTCCCTTTGGTACATAATTATTGGTACATTTCCACTTAATATGTCCTATTTGCTGACAATTATGACATCTTGTTGTCCTATAGGTACAATTATTGGCAAAATGTTTACCACCACTGCGATAACATGGTTGATCAGGTTCGGTCTTCGGATTAACCCGTTGATTATCCTGATTATCATTTGAATGACTTTTTACAAAAAATTTAGCCTTCGTACTCGAACATCTGTCAGATTTATCAGTCTCAATGTGAAATTTGTTTATATTCTTGCTTGCCATTTCCATTCCTGTTGCTATATCCAGTGCTTTTCCAAATGTCAGATCTAACATTTTCTTCTGAATTTTTTCGTCATTAATTCCATGCACTAAAAACGGTCTCTTAAACAAATGTCAAGAGTTGTCTCAAAATTGCAGTCATCGGACAACTGTCTTAGATAACCCACAAAGTTGGCTATCGACTCAACCTTGTGACGAACTCGTGTGTTGAATTTTGCCCTCTGAACAATTTTTGACAACCTAGATAGTGATCATCAAAGCCTCAAACAAGGAATCATAACTCTTATCAGCTGGCTTAGTAGGGGGATACTAAATTTCTCAATAATTTATGTTTTTGCACCTATATTACTTAAAAATACGGATTCCATCTTTCCTTCCCCTTGAATGTCATTGGCAAGGAAATACTGTTCAAGCCTTTGGAAATCATCGCATTCCTCAGAAAATGGTTCAACTTTTCCAAAATTTGCCACCGCCATTGTCCAGCTAATATTAATGTCCTGACACCACTCACCAGATAAAAGACAACATTAGTTTATCCACATTGCTATAGTTATACATTCAAACAGCTAACACATGTTTTAAATGAATATACTTTATATATTTGTACTACGTGAGTTTTTATAATAACACGTAAGACTGCATAGCTTTTCTTTGCTATGATTGGTCATTAGAAAGGAAGTAGTATTATGTTAGAAACGTCAAAAGTCACTATAGCCATAATGTACTCAGTGTACTTATTTCTTTTCTATGACGTGAAATCAAATGAAACAGGGTTTAACGTCCTACTGTTCTGCTCCGGACTGGGCTAATGAAGACGGGCATACGCCATACAGTGTACTATGAGGGAAATTTTGCCCGGACATCGGCACTATGGTTTACTCTTATATCGAATTCTAACTGTCAAGGGATCTTTTACGCGCACGCTAATGTGTACACGGGACCTCGGTTTTTCGTATCACCCGAACGACTAGACAGTTGTCCTTGTCAGGCCCTCTGTTCTGCATCACTGACAGGGGGAACCACGTCGGACAATCTGGATAGAATTCTATAACGTAATCAAGTAATGACAAATATGTTACCAAAAGGTAATACATAACAACAAGCATAACTCCGGAATGGAAGATCGCCGAAAGCTGAAAATCGATAGGGTTTCGTCCTCGCTTGACCCCAAATTTGAGAAAGATCTGATAAAAACTATAGCCTCTATCAATTTTCGGAAAAATTGGCATACCTCTGGAACGAAAAGTTGCGGACTGGTGAATACTGAGATGAATGGGCCTCCCATGACCCCAACGGACAATGCTTTACACATAAATTTAAAACAAGTCTGTCTATTCTCAGGTTATCGGCAAATGGGTTGTAACTCCAGAACAGAAAGTCACAGAACATTGACAATCGATACGGTTCATCCTCTCATGACCCCAATGCTTCACGCAAAATTTGAAAAGAATCTGTTGAACACATAGCCTGTATCATCTTCACAGGGTTTTCTGGCAAATGGGGTGGGGTGGGGTAACTCTGGAACAGAATATCGAAGAAGGCTGGGTACAGCAGGAAATAAAATGTTGCCGATTTTACTGCCTAAGAACTCACCGCATGGTCCCATTTGCCATCAAATATTTTAACCATTTTCCATTCAGGACATACGGAAAACCCACTAAAAGGGATGAAGTTTAAAAGGGATCTAAGGGGAGATAACTAATAAAAGAAATAACAGTTTTCAAAACTGAACATAATTCATTTATAATGTCGGAGACTACTAAAACTACTAATGATTCATAAATTACAATAAGATATGTATCAACGTTCTGTTTACAAAACTATTCAAATATCTAATCATAAGAAAATGTAATGCTTTATTACTAAATCACAAGATACAAATTATCTAAATCTAATGGCCTGGTTATATGGAACAGACTGGCCCTGAAATGCGGGCTAACTGAACTGTTTATATAGACCGAGCTATATTGCCTCGTCTCGGCTAAAAATGAAGGGCTAAACAGACCCTAAATATGTACAAAATGAAAAACAAGACAGAAGTAAAACTTAATAACTTGGTCGAAATGTTTTTCTTTTTATCATGGAGGCTTAAATTAAAGTTGTGATTTTTGACTTTTCGCCAAAGGACGGGTGGACCTTTGCGACGATATAATTTTGAAATGGAAGTCCTGATTTAATTCCATTTTAACCAACAATATTTGTAACTACACTAAATGATTTACACACTTACATGATTCAAAAATTTACTATTTTTTGTAGCCCATCCTATTTGCATTACTCCAGCTGTTACTATGGTAACTTCATAGTACCAGACACCAGAATCCACTTGAAATGTACATCGAACACTTTCAAATGATGATGCATCACATCTAGCCTACACGGATATAAAAAGAAATTGTTAGTCAGTCTTTTCATTAGATATTTAAACCAATTTCAATAACAAAATAAATGTAATTTTGAATAATATTGCATTCAAAATAACCTCAGACTCACTAATTATTATTGTTCTGCCATTCAAATTAGAACTTCAAACGAATATGCATTATAGATCACCAGAAAAACTTCATAAATGTTTTTAAATAATGGAAGTAAAAATATCCTTTCCATAAGTATAACAGGTCCCGAATGTCATTACCTTCCACAGGTAAATTTCAACGGGTAGATTTCCGCTGTTCTCTGTGAGTAGTTGTAACTTTGTCCCAATAAACAAAGCGTGGGATAATTTTAGTCCTTCTGCTCATTATAGAAATATACACTAGAACATGAGCAGAACGGCGCAATTTCTTATTTAGAAAGTTGTTGCTAACATTCGCATAGTATCTGGATTTAGGCCGTTTCTTCCTGTCCTGCTATTTACCGACAAGAACCGACACGAATGGGTATATTTTTGAACATAGCTTCCAAAGTACTGCTAAAAGTGAACAACGACAAGGAAATATATCTTATATAGATATATGCATTTTCTACACATCATATACAAAATTTAAATGATTCCATCAAAAAATTAAAGATAGGTTGGCAGGCACCGAAACACACGCTCACAGCAGCTAAATCGCCTGGGCAGTCAATAAGAGCTGTCGCATATTATTACTTTTGTCGGTAATGAAACATTTATAATACATTAAAATATAATAATACACTCATTAAGTAATTATCAGAAAATCATTAGAATTTGTTTGGCCCATGCTATCATTCAGTATACCAAACACTTAATATCATGGATGTAGCTGTTCAAATTATCAAAAACCATTGAAAATCAATACACTTGTTCGTTTCAAGACCTTAAACTCTGTGTATCAATCCACAGTCAATCGGAACGATTATATATAGGCGTAAAAATTGAGTATAAATATAAAATTAATCAGATGATAACTATTGTCATAAAGCATCCACAAGATTTTTCAAAGTGATCAAGGGCTATAACTCTAGCAGAAATTATTGGACTTAAACAAATTCAAACTGATCAAAGGCCAAAACTCAGGCAGAAATTATTAGAAATCGTTGAAAATCAATAGGATTCTTCGTCTGATGACCTTAAACACTGTATATGAATTCAAAGTCAATCAGATATTAACTTTAACTACTAGATTTTTCAAAGTGATAAAGGGCCATCACTCTCGCAGAAATTATTGGATATCGTTGAAAATCAATAGGTTTTTTCGTCGCATGACCTTAAACACTGTTTGATCGGATATTAACTTTAGCCTCTAGAGCGTCCATGTAGTTTTTCAAAGTGATCAAGGGCCATAACTCTGGCAGTAATTATCGAAAATAGCTGAAAATCAATAGGCTTATTTGTCTCATGATCTTAAACACTGTGTATATATTTCAAGTCAGTCGGATATTAACTTTAGTTTCTAGAGCGCCCACAAGATTTCTCAAAGTGATTAACTCTGACAGCAATTATCGGAAATCGTTGAAAATCAATAGGCTTCAGCGTCTCATGACCTTAAACACTGTGTATAAATCTAAAGTCAGTCGGATATTAACTTTAGTCTCGAGAGCATCCACAGGGATTTTCAAAGTGATCAAGGGCCATACCTCTGACAGTAATTATCGGAAATTGGTGAAAATCAGTAGGTTTCTTTGTCTCATGACCTTAAACACTGTGTATAAATTCAAAGTCAATCGGATATCAAGTTTAGCCTCTAGAGCGTCCACGAGCAATTGTGGACGCCGGACGGACGGACTGGGGCGACGACAATATACAACCACATTTCAACATGGGCGTTTAAAAAGCGTGGAAATACGCCAACAAGGCAGCAATGTCTTGAAAGCAACTCATTGAAAGAACAAGTGGTTTCCATGCAAGAGATGGATAGAAAACTAGATTTAAAAAAAGCAGTGGTTGCCAGGCAAGATACGCCCACATTTTGCAAGAGGTGGATAGAGAACAAGCTAAAAAAAACCGTGATTTTTGTACAATTAGGGGCCAAAATCCAGTAAGTTACAATCTGAAATGCGCGAATATCTTTGGGATATAAACATATATTTTAAGTTCCATCAAAATCGGACAAAAATTGTGACCTCTATGTAGAGGGTCCACAACCTTTGTGTTACATACTTTTACACTATTTGCGTAGAAGGAGCGACCATTTCGTCGGACAGTTCCGTTTAAATTTTCCCGAAGTCCAAACTGAACCTTCACTATGGTGTAACGGTGATATATTTAAACAGTTTTTAATATCGGATAAAAATTGTTACCTCTAGAGTGTCCACAAGTTAAAAAAACATGATTTTTCGTACAATCAGGGGCCATAATCCATTAAGTTACAATCTGATACATGCCAATAAACCTATATTTCAAGTGTCCACAAACAAATTATGGAAAGGAGCGACGATGACAATATATGTCCACATTGAAAATGTGGGCATATAAATATAATGGATTCCCTGAAAAACACCTATGGAGCGCATATAGAAGTTAATATTTTACTGACGAAATGGGGCTTAACGTCCACTCGATACAAAACTATGTCATTTCGGGACTGACATATGGTTCAAAACTAAGCCAGTTGACTCAATGACAGACCTTATCCATCCACTCCTCTCCTCCCACCTAGTTTTTGACGGATTTTTTAAATTTGGTGTCAAGAATGAGCGGACAAACCCTATCAATATTCAGCGTTCAGAGATCTTTTGTACTAGTATCAATGGAGCTGGGTTCAGGTTGTTTCGAAATTCGCGTACAACAAATTTCGTGCATAAGTCGACCAGAGAGAGAGAGAGAGAGAGAGAGATAGAGAAATGAGGTTTAACGTCCACTCGTTCACTCGACACAAACTAGGTCATTTCGGGACTAACATATGGTTTATTTTTATTTTAATAATTCGCTTGCGCATAGGGGTCTTTAGCAGTGGGAGGAAACCGGAGGATCCGGAAAAAACCCACGAGGTTGGACAGGCGATCCTACTCCTTGTCACGTACAACCAGGGATTCGAAACCCTGCCAGTCGACTCAATGACAGACTTCATGATACAGCGCGCGCACGCTAACCATTCAGCCATCCAACCCCCCCATCCAACCCTTAAGCTGCTGTATTGTTGACGTCATATATGACGTCGTCAACTGAATTGTTTTGGGAATACATGCATGACGTTGGGTGCCTCTATTAAAACTGATATAGCTGCCAGAATCTGCAAATCAGATTTTTAGCACTGACACTGTAAAATTTTGACAGAATTCACTACCTTCATCCTTAAATAATACGTTTAACACTTCCTTGACAGTTAGCCGTGACATAACTTCAGGTTTTTTTTGGACATGTATCATTACATACGCCCCCCAGATCTTCGGAAAATTAGCGAAACAATTGTAAATAAAGCAACACGCATGACAGCAAACTGCGCTTCTTTCGTTTAGTGAAACGCCACCTATCGAACATGGGAGTTAACTCTATTAAAACTCCAAGAAATAAATACAATCGGTAATCCCGGAATATTCCGGGTGCCGTATATGGAGGGCTCGTGGCGATCCCGGAATAATCCGGGTACCGCAGGACAAGGGTTAAGAAGGCCCCGACCCTTCCTTCCTCATTTAAGAAGACCCACTTTACCCCCTCCCCTGGGAGATGAGTTAATTTGACTGCCGCGTACAACATTAATTTTTTTTTTAAAAGTTTCACCATTGGTCCGCTAGAACATAACACTAACTTTAGAACGACAAAACGGGGGGGGGGGGGGCATGTCTGAAATGACCAAAATGACGATTTCGTCGGACCCCCACCTCACCCCTATGGAAAGGGGACCCGCAACTTAAGAATCAAGGTTCAGAGTATCGGGCACCACTGGCCACTCATCTAGCAAAGTAAAAACTTTGTACACGATTCTCGAAACAACCTGGACCCATCTCCCTTACTACAGAGTTACGTTCCCTTTTCCGAAAACTTTACAAATGCGATAGAGGCTACAGTTTTTGGCGGATTCTTGAACAGATGAATCTTATCGATTTTCTGCATCCCCCCCCCCTCCTTTGCCGAAAACCTTGTGAACCCGATAGAGGCTGCAAATTTTAACAGATACTTTCAGATTTAACATGAAGCATTGGGGTCATGAGAGGAAGAACCCTATCGATAAAAATTGTGACCTCCAGAGGGACCACAAGCTAAAAGCTCATTTTTTCGTACAATCAGGGGACATAATCCAGGAAGTTACGGTCTGATATGCACGAATGTGGAGAGGAACCAAGATCTGTAGGTCATAAACATACACTTCAAGTTTCATCAAAATCGGATAAAAATTGTGACCTCTAGAGTGTCCACAAGTTAAAAACGATTTTTCGATCCGATACATGCCAGTATCCAGATCTTTTTCGCAAGAGCACCAATTTTCTAACTTTTTGTTTTCAAAATTTTGACATCATTTGAACCACTTCCGATATATGGATCATTGTCAGGATAGTTTTAACAACCAGTTTGAGCATTTGATTGGTAGAATGGTAGTAGGGCTCTATACATGTAATGATATATTGTATTATCTGATCAGATGAAATCCCCCTGAGAAATCATATGTTCAAAAGTGCCAAAAATTTCAAAATATCGAAAATTCAATTTCAATATCTCAATACATATTAGACATTATTAGAATAGTAATAAGATCAGCTATCTGAATACATAAACCTTTATTGAAAATCCGTAAGAAAAAAAAATAATAGAGCATTTTAAAAAAAAAATAAAGATTTTTCGACTTTTTTCGATATTCAGTCCCTTTTTTGTCCTATTCCAATTACTTTAAAGTTTTATTGGATGGCTGCATACACAATACTATGGAAGGCTCCCTCGATAGAGAACGTTTAAGAAAATTCGCTGAAGTAGTTTTCGAGAGGTCCAAAAAGACGCCAAGTCGGAAAATTGATCTAATTTGGTGATATCAAACT